TTGCAACACCTTGCAACACCTTGCAACACCTTGCAACACCTTGCAACTATGCCAGGAAGGAAGCAGTAGACAAAGTAGAAGTAGCTTGATTGCCTAGGAACAAGAAGCTGCTAGGTGGAGGCCATCGCTACTAGTAACAAGAAGCTAGTAACAAAGGCTGCGGGTGGAATGGTCTCTGAGGCGATTGGGAGTCGATGAGTGCTGAGCGCTTTGAGGCCTCTGCCCGAGCCTCCAAGGAGAGGCTCCGTGTGGCCGTGTGATGCCATGTGGGTTGTAGCGATGGCCTCCAACCTAGTTGCGCCTCCATCTAATAGCGTCCTTGTTACTAGTAGCTATAACATGTTTTATTGTTTCCATTGTTTCAAAAGAACGTCTTTTCATTCTTTTCTTTCTTGCTTCCTTTCTTCCTTTGGTTGGAATTGATGTGGACCCAGCCTCTTGCCGCTCGTGCATGATAAAGACAGATCAAAGGTCTTGAGAACACAAGATGAGAGATAATAAATTGAAAACATACCCACCAAACAACAGAGACAAGAACGCTACTAGGGGCTCCTGGCATCGCTACTAGGAGCAAGGACGCTACTATAGGGGCTCCTGGCCTTACCAGTAACAAGGACGCTACTAGGAAAGACCTTTGGAGGAGCTCCAACGCCTCTCGCAGCGTTGCGAGCAGCTCCCGGAATCCATGGAGCGCTGCATGGAGGAGTGCTCACGGGCAAGGGAACCGGAGGGAGCCTGCTGAATGTATGCTATGCTGAGTGCTATGCTGCTATGTGTCTCAGATGCTTTGTGTTTTCTGTTTTTGTGAAAGAAAAACAAAGTTTTTCTGCTGGACAAGTAGAGTGGCAGCTGGGGTGGGGCCATTTTGGCTCAAGGTTGCTGCCACTATGTTGTTTTCATGGTGGTGGTGGCTGCCCCTCGCGTGCAGCGATGTTTCCGGCCGTTTCGGCCGCGCTGGCCATGGAGACGATTTCGGACATGACGGCCCATTTCCGAGTGGAGGCAGAGCTTTGGTCGGCCTTCACGCAGGAAGTGGGGGCCACTGGCGACGATCCGCGCTTGCTTGCAGCGCTGCCGGGCAAATTGGTGGCTGCGGCTCTGAGTCAAGCCTCGTTGCCCGGGGG